GGGGGGGGGGTTGCTTCCCTCCTTTTTGTTGGTTATTTCAGTGTCCGTGCACCAATGTTTATCCTTTATATGACCATTCTCATCCTTTTTTGTGTTCTGTTTCTTCTCAGTATTTGTTCTCATCTCCAGTTTGAGTTTGCTTTGTTCATCTGAGGTCAGCTTGTGGTTCTTCTTCTCTGGTTAATACTCGGTTTTACTTTCAGTTTCCTGTCTTTTCTTTGTGGTTTTGTCTGTTTAATCATCCACTTTCTTAGTTTTCTTACTTTTTCGCTCAGTTTCTCTGGTTTTCTCCCTCTCTGTAGGCTTCCAGTCACCTGTTCCGTTCCTTTATCATCAGGAGCTTTTTGCTCCTCTTATTTTTTCTTATAGTTTCTATGATTTTGCTTTGTATTTCTAATGTTTAGTTGAGTTTTTTTTATCTGTCTCTGATGCATTTTATATAAATAAATCTGAGTTTTCTGGATCCCTGGCCACTGTGTCTTTTTGCTCCTCCTATTTTTGATGATATTTTCTATGATTTTGCTTTGTATTTCTAAAGTTATTTGAGTTTTTTTATCCATCTCAGATGCATTTCATCTAAATAAATCAGAGTTTTCTGGATTCCTGGCTGCTGTGTTTGGGTCCTCCAGCAGATTTATGGCACACAACATAAACATTTTAAGGTTTTATTGTTTTTTTGATGCTCTTAAAACTGAAACTCGTGCCTGGCTGTTGCTTTTCTGCCTCTGTGGACTGGGACCACTTCCTTCCACCAACTTCTGTCTGCCGGGCCTTTTTAGGTCACCACACAGGCTGCTCATCAACCCGGAAATCCAACTCACTCAGCAAATAGAATAAAAAATAAGTCTGGAAAACAGTTTAGGAACCCATTCCGGCTCATCCGGAAATGAATCATATTAACCCTATAATGCCAAATGTCTCATATTTGGTACCAATATTCTTCCTATTTTTCTTGGATCAGGCTTTAAAGGGTTAAATCTGTTTTTTGGGGCTTTTAAAGCTGTTTTGGGAGGCTTTTAAAACTGTTTTTTGTGCTTTAAAAACGGTTTTTGGGGGCTTTTAAAGGTCTTTTGGGGGTCTTACCCCTGTAATGCAAAATATATCATATTTCATACTGTTTCTGAAGTCTTTTGGAGACTTTTTGCATCATTCAGTGGTAAAAGCTTTGCTCAAACCCCTGTTGTACACATTCAGATATACCTGATAACAGCCAGTAGAAGACTACACCAAAATACATTTTTGACTTATTGCACGCCAATTTGATCAAAAATAATTTCTGTTTTTTTTCTTCATATGTTGTTGAGGGGCCAAAGAAAGACTTCAGACTAAAAAAATCCAATATTCTTCCTATTTTTCTTGGATCAGGCTTTAAAGGGTTAAAATATGTGTCACAAATGATGGGGCAAAATGAAAACTATTGATCTGTTTCCTCTAAAACAGAGAGAAACCCCACATAGATGCACACAGAAAGGCCCCTGACGGGATTTGAACCAATAACTCTCTCGGCTAACATTTACTTACTTATATTTATTAATAAAGAAAATTATCTTATAGGAGAGCAAAAACTCAAGTTTTACCGAGCCGTAAAGATTAAATGGTGTAAAACTTAAACTAAAAACTCACCTTAAAGATGTTTCAGTGAGCTGTTAACAGGTTTCTGTATCATTGTCCTAATTCTGGCAGAGCCACTGAAACCACCGAGGGGATTTCTTTAATGGTTTTACTTTGCAGTTTCTGTTTCTTTTGGGTCTCTGTGTCTAAATAAAGCGGCTGGTTTTGTGCATTGTGTGTCACCATGTCGGTCTCAAAGTGGAAAATGACAATGACACTTTCCATTGTAGGAATAAATGAGGAAAAACTCATTATATTTTGGTTTCAATGCTCAAAATCAGAGTTTTCTTCATCCCAAAAAAATATACAAAAGGGGAAAATGGTATTTTTTATTTAGAAATAACTTAATTTAGCTTGTTTCTTCTGTTTTTCTATGTGAAATCAGAGTTTTTCTTCATCCAAAAACAATTTAAAAGGGGAAATGGGTATTTCTTATGTAGAAATAACTTAAATTAGCTTGTTTTTTCAATGTTTTTCTATGTCAAATCAGAGTTTTTCTTAATCCAAAAACAATTTAACAGGGGAAAGGGGTATTTCTTATTTAGAAATAACATAAATGAGCTTGTTTTTTCTGTTTTTCTATGTGAAATCAGAGTTTTTCTTCATCCAAAAACAATTTCAAATGGGAAAGGGATATTTC